GAACAGTATGCTATCCTTGGCCGGCATAGACAAGGGGTTGGGTTGTTGCTCCCTTGGTATGTTGTTGGGCCAATGTCACGAAATGGCGGGAGGCCTACCTCTCTTTTGCTTTGTTGCGCGCGGCTGGAGGCGTTGCGCGGTGCTGGCTCGGTGCACGTTCGCCAGGGTATAGGTATACCTCCTGGAGGACTGACGCAAGAAGGGACGCCAATTCCATGCGTCATTCAGCGTGACGGTATGCGAAGTTCCCCGGTTTCATGCCCATCTAGGGTCAGACGATGGGACAGAAGCAAACCACGAAGTCGCACCACTTTTCGCCATAAGTGCGTTTCTTAAGACCACATGCACAACAAATGGAAAGAGGCACGCAACGTTAAGAAAGCACCACGATTCCTCAACAACATCACGAAGAAAAGCCATTCGTGTTGCTCTCACCCGAGAATGCGTGACAACAACCGCGCAAATGCGAGCGCGTGCGTTGCTGCTTGTGTCGCGAGGTACGAGCACACCATCTCTCATGCCTGCCTGCCGTGGCGAAGTAGCCCATGACAACGCGTCTCCTTTTGCTCCACAACGAACCTCGCGTGGGAAGGTGGGGCGCCTGCACATGTGGCTTGGGAAAGCTCTTTTCTTGAAGGGCGACGACCGGCGCGAGCAGGCCCTGCAGGAGTACCGGGAGGGCGTTAGGGTACTGCTGGAGAGCGAAGCCGAACGACGGTCACCGAGCATGGCTCTCTTCCGTTGGTACCTGGGTAAAGCTCTGCTGGAGAATGGCGAGGTAAAAGCTGTATACCAGTTGTTCTTCTGCAAGAACGGGTGGGTGAAAGCAGACCACCAAATCATCGCATAGCTCAAGGCATTCGAAAAACATGGTCGACATAGAGGCAGACACAGCTACTCCTCTGAAATCTGACACGTTTTTCGTTTGCGCCCCTATCGATCCTTCCGTTGGACCGATATAGCTCCGTCCGCTCGCTCGCCGCACTACCCCTGGCCTTTGTAGATCGACGAGGCCCTGCCCCACCTCGCAGAGTCGGTTTCGATAGACCCAGAAAATGCCAAGTACCGCCACACCCTCGGCCTGGCCAAGTGCGTTACGGGTGACGAGGCCGGAGCACGGGAGGATCTCCTCGAGGCAGCGCTACTGGACGAGGAGGACGCGGAAGATCGGTACCAGCTGCGCATGCAACGCATCGACGAGGAGCGGAGAAAACACGCAGAGGAGGAACAACAGCGCGTTTCATGGTCATTGCAAGAGTCTGAGGGGGCTGGCACGACGCAGGTTTGACATGTCCTCGCAGTTCTAGCGCTCATAGAGTGCGGTGTGCGTCTATATTATTTGGTTGATCATCTTGACACTGGTAAGGAACGGTTCTTGCACTAGGTTTGTGAATCATGTCGACCCACGGGAAACAGGACATTCCGATTAGTTCATGTTTCGCTGAAGGTGTTTAATCGATCACTCCGGTAAAGAGCGTTCTTATTTCGCGCTCTAGGTTGTTTCCTTCGAAAGCAGTCCTTGCCTGTTCATGTCGCTGCGTTCCACCACCTGTTTTTGTTCCCCCAGGGAGCGGCGTCCCCCAAGCCGGGCGATGCAGAGGAAAGCGGTACGCCCCTAACGGCGACAACACCAAGTGATGAGCCTACGGCCGTAATGTCCGGCTTTGCTCAATCGCGCCTCCTGGCGCTTGAGAGGGCCTCTTCCTCCACTCGCACCTATGCCCTCGAGAAGCTCAGTGACTACAGGAACCATAAATTGGCGGGCAAACTGATCGGCTACACTTGGGGAAGTGGCGGGGGGGTGACTCACCCCATCGATTACTCTTTCGGGGATAAAAACACCCGAGATGCGGCGACTCTTGCCGAGGTGGGCCGCCCGGCTGCGATCGGGAATCGTGCCCCAAGCTGATGTCCCGAGATTGGCGACAAGCGAGATCGTGCTGTCTCGTCGTGTATTGCTGTATTGACGCGTTTGAGGCTAACACCACCTCTACGTAACTCCTCGCCGTAGGTCGGTAGAAGGGACGGTGGCGAACGGACTGTCGGATTCCTCATCTCTTGACTTTCCTTCCCCATGTCTCCAACATGCCCCGTTGTTGCAGGTCCGGCGGTTCTCTGTCGGAGACGAAATTGTCGGGGGGCCAGACATCTCCGCTTCTGGAAAACCGCTAGACCCACTACACTGTTGCGGATTTTCTTCTCCGTACGATGACACGCGTGTTGACACGGATATCGACGGAAGGTTTGTTATCTGTGATCTTTTGCCCCCAGGACAGGCTAGCCTGCACATTCCGGGAGAAGCGTACACGGCGACGAGGTCGACGACGAATTGTCGTCGGCAACAGCCAGACGAGTGCAGCAGGTCTTACCACGTAGTCCACGTTCGGTTCGAGACCGGTAACACTACGCAAGCTGTTAGTCCTATGTCTGCGACCCCCGCAGTGGCAGAAGCCATACCGGGGGAAACTGGTGACAATCACCTTGGAACGATCGACAAAAGACAGGGCAAGGTTCACAGGACCGGCGCCGAGGCGACGGCAGGCCCGGGGGCGGGGTGGTCTTCCGGTGTCACCGGCAGCAACAAGACCGTTAGGTCTTTGTCATCGTCGCGAAGTATATCGCCAACGAAACGTCTCGCTCCTCTGAGCTCGACCCACAGCAAGCGAGAAGAGGAGTACGTCCCGATGCTGAAGGCGATGGGGCGGGCGGTGATGGTGGGTTTCCACGCGCACCTGGCGGGAGCTGTGCGCCAGCTGAGGTGGCGGGCTTGCGAACTCACGCTTATCGCCGAAGACCTTCCCGGCGCTTGCTTGACGCTACGAGAGGCGTGCACGTCCGGCAGTCTGTATCGGGGAACCGGGATAGGGACCAGCCGCAGCAGCAGCCGCGGTCACCATGCCACAAGGGACGATCAGCGAGTGAACGCGCCGGTGGTGGTGGACAGAATCTTGAAGCTAGCGAAGCAAATGGCCGCAGCGATTCTGCACTGCCACCGCAAAGGGGTGAGCGGGTGTGAAGTTTGCACTACATCTAGTAGTGGGCATTGTTCCATGGTTGAGCAGGCCTTATCTGTGGCGTACAGCCAGTGGATTTGGTCGCGGCACGAGCTGATCCTACCATCAGAAAGCGTGGATTGCGCAGGATGATTTTGCGCACAACCAAAGCCTAAACTGACGTCGCATGGAGGTACAGCAACCGCACTAGTTCTCAAAACGAAGACCCAGAAGGGCGCGATTTGGGTGCGGAAGGCATGTATAGAACCAAATCTACACGCGGCTGAAGTCAGTGGGAGGCCTGTCGGAGCAGGCGGGTAAATACCGTTACGACGATGAACGTTCAGTAGCGACTACCGTATACACCTCCTGGACCGATTTTCAAAGCTCGATTACTCCACGACGAAGAGGATGGATAAACGAAACGATACGTTTTCGCCGCGGCTCTCGACCAGACGACTTCAAGGCCGCCGTTCTCGGCGCTCCGACTCTTCATGCTGTTGATACAATCGAGCTTTGAGATTGGTACAGGGGATGTGTTATCGTGTGTCGTATACGGCATGTTTTGACACAGTACCCTAAAAAAAGTAGTGTTCAATGGCGAACAGATTGTGGTTCCACAATCAGAAGGACTGATACGGCGGGAGAAAAAGGCGGCGCCGTCGCTGTTTTTCTCCCTGTTCTCAATGGACCTTTGTCCTGTGTCCCATCATCATTGCCATCGGAAACACATGTCCGTCGCACGTGTGCAAAACAGGTTCTTCTGCGAACAACCACCCCTGACAACGTGCTCGTGACACCTGAGTGGGACGCTATTCTCCGCCCGAACTACTCTCACGCGTATGAGGCGCAGAGGTGGACAACCGTTTCCGTCCGCGCTCAGCAACAACAACGGCAGGCCCTCAGGCCGTCCGGTGCTGACCTGGATGAACTGCTTGCCGCTCCATTCACAAACGTCACATCTTCGGACTATCAGGCGAGTAGTCTGAGCAAGCAAGCACTAATAGCGCCATTCCGGAAGGATAGCATGGAACATAAGGATACAAAACCACGGTGGGAAGAAACTGAGTAACTGCCATGCGGCGACGTCGTTATGAGCAGGCGTCCGACGTAATAACCTCTGAACCGTGATCTGAGTGGTATGCAGTCTGCAGAACGTCGCGAGGCCGGGTGAAGGCAATCAATTGGCCGTTAAGCGACGGGCGGAAGCGTAAGGGTATCACTTACCACCGATCGTGAAGACACGGGTGACGTCATTGTATTTCCGATCGAAAACCTTCGCAGGCTTCGCGATGCTCTCCCTCTTTTTCCAAATATTGTCTCTTGTGCTGTTTATCTTTGCGCCGCATCCCCTCGATCTCGGGCGAGCGCATTGTTCTCATGAGGTTTCCCTACAAACCCAGCGTCCCTTACCGATACGTCGCTGTCACTCGTTTGCAACCACCGTGTAAACGGCAGACACATATCTATGCGCGTGGTGATAACAATAATTTTCGTGCTTCTTGTCCTTGCTAGTTGCACAATCACTGCTGTTCGAAGTCTCGTTCCCGGTCCCGTACACCCTAGCCTGATCTCAAAATGTGTTCTTTGCCTTCCCAGAGCCCGGAAATAGCGCAAATGCGGGGCGAGAACGAGCCCCGTCAGAGGGTTTCAGGTCGAGCGCAACGGCGTTCGGCCGCGTTGACGGGCACAGGTGTTCAAGAAGATCGACCACGTTCGATGTCTTCCCCAATCCGCAGCTACCGCAGCATAAGCACCGAGCATGACACTATAAGGGGGGGCGCACATAGCCGCTCTGACTACGTCGCGGATGGTGCTGCGCGCTCAGCAACTGCTGAAAAGAATCGGCAACAAACGGACGCCAGTAAGAGGGGAAGGACAGAGAGGCGTAGTCTCGGTTGCCGGCAAGGAGGGGCTGCCGCCGACGAAACCGGCGAGGACGCACAACCCTCGTCCCCCTCCTCGTTGTCTAGAGGTATCGGTGCGACCGCGGGCAGTGGACAGCCGATGATCACGGCTTGCGAGAGCGACATCTGGGCGTGGGCGTTGATGGTCCTGCAGATGTTCTCCGACGACGCGTGGCCCCCCGGTAGCGGCCAGGTGTGGGTGAATGTCTCTGCGTTAACAAGTATCGTGACGCGCCCTTACGTTTGGATGGCCGAACAACAGGACCGAACAGCCGGCAACTGTTGCACAACGAGAGCTTCCGATAAGCTTAGCCTGAAACCTACCCGTAGCTGGGATGAACAGCGACACATCTCTTGGGTTTCATCATTGCACTTTTCTGAGCAGCAATCTGGCAGGCCGGAGGAAATGAAAACAGCTGAAGCTCTCAGCTTTGACGTTGACAGTCAAGCACGCCACAGGTTCCCAGGCGCTGGATCAATGTACGGCAGACAGTACAGGGTTTAGAGTATTTGCTGAACGCCACAATCAAGCACTTTCTCGTTTTCGAGAATCCAGTAGTCCTTGTCACCCTTTCCGTGTCTTGCTGCAGAAAGGACTGCCGGCCTTAGAGGCTTTGCTGCTTAGGAAGCAAGGCGTGGATGCTTGGACTACGGAAGACGTTGTCTCATGGCTCCGCGATATTGGGCTGTGGAGCGAGAAAACCGAGAGAGAGGTATCTAAGCTGCGTCATGCCGTACCCCCTCGCCCGTCAAAAACCAAAGCCAACAATGGTCGTGCGTGTGCTTGTTCGGCCTGTGCGTTCTACTTTTAGCCGCCGGGAAAGATGGAAGACACAATACCGTGGCACTGATCCCGAGATCGATGCTCTCAAGTTTGGTTGTCTCACCAGTTACACGGTCTCCCCGGTGGTCTGGTGGTATCCTCGTGATCCGCTAGTCGCAGAGATCGTGAGTTCGAATCCCCATGGGGGGAAAAATTTACGAAATGTGCGGGTGAAAGCGAAATACAGCTGACAAGCTCTCGTGAGTCCCAAACTTCGACGTTAGCACCGTTGACGAGGGAAAGGGACGGCTGGACCCTTCTCGCGATAACAATAAAATTCAGCACGCACCGAAGGAGGAAGGTGGGGCATGAAAAGAAAAAAACGAAGAAAAGAGCCCTGGTGTTTACCCCCTCCTGTGTGACCCTGGATGGTTGTAGTTGTTCGAAAAAATATACTGAAAAGTGTAGTACTCTACATACGCTGGAAAGTGTAGTACACGTCTCACCACGAAAAATGAGGGGACTGTCGCCATAATAAATAGGACGAAAACACACACACATAAAGAAAATAGTGGAGGTACTGTTCGTATTTCGGGGTAGAAACATGCAACTCAATCGAGCGGGAGGTGCCAACCGTTCACGCCGTCTCTCCCAATCTCTCGGCCTCGCCTCAGGCACGATTTTCACTTGTTGCTTCTTGACCAGATTATCGGCAGACTGCTCAACCAACTGATATTTTATCGGATCGTGCATGTCTTCAGACTGCTGTCAGTTTTCGACGTTTTCACGTATCGAGCACTTTCAATAAAATTCGGTGCTGACGTGCAGATTCGCGCTTTCAAGATAGATGGGCCGCACATGCTGGTGCCCACGTGCCGTCGAGATATTGTCGAGAAACTAGGGCTTTTCATCACCGATGGAGAGCTGTCCTGCAAGCTCTGGCACAGCATTGCCGGGGGGCTGCAGCGGTGGAGCATGCCGTTCTCTCTGGCGCAGGTTTTACGGAGGTAAGTGTGAGACGAGAGGAGTACCAACGATCCGGGATACGAGCTGAGAAGAGGGAAACGGAGACCCCGCAAGCTTCTGAGTCGAGTTTCGGCAGTGGGCAGGTAGGAAAAACTGATCCTTAGAAGCCGTCCGAGGACCATGGGTCAATTTGCCGCCACAAAACGTATACTTGCGACGCATGAAGGCGGGGGGTAATGTGGATGACACGTACACTGGAAGCGTAGGACCCGCACCTTCAACACGTGTTGGCGCGGCGCGCCGATGACAGGTGCCTGGCTGACAGCCCGAAGGACCGTTTTTCAAGCATGGAAGAAGTTTGTAGGCTTCTCCGCGGGATCGCGGCAGGCGATGGTGGACGCGACGACGAGGACTCCGCGGTATCAGCGGCGAGCGACTACAGCTGTGACCCGGATGTTGCGTCCGACAGATTGCGCACGGGCATGATTCTCAACGACATCGGGGTGAGTTTGGGCTACGAGACCTGCAAGGTTGGAGGGTGGCGAGGGCGGGGGGTTGAACGGCATTGAAGCACTTTGGGCAAGTGAAGATCGCCGGAGAGGATGGAAATGAGGGATGGAGAGGGTGGTTGTGTCACAATAACACGCTAGACTACGGACCTCGTTGAGTTTTGAGATGACCGGCGACTCACCGGATCCAAGGCGCTTGGGCGTACCTAACAATGTGAACGATACAGGATAAGCGGATCGACGCACAATGCGCTTCACTCTGCACACAAGTCAACATGCCCCATCCCGACCCCCCGTTCGCCACACGATAACCTCTGTAAACAAACTCCCTGTTGTTTTATCAGGTGTGCCTGTGCAGCAAAGGCGAGACCGAGGAATCGGAGCGGTACTACAAGTTGGCCCTGCTTTCTAGCGAAGGTGTCTTCGAGGCGTACTACAACCTCGGCCTGCTCTATAGCACAGCGGCGTTTAACAAGTGAGAACTGGTGTGGAAGCCCCTTACGTCCTCCGTCTACATAAGAAGGCCCAAGTCGTCGATCATCACAGCAAGAGCCGTAGCAGAGACTGCAGAACATTTCGCCACTCCACGTGGCATCGTTCGTCGCTCTCCAGAGCGTTTCGAAGTGTGGAAACGCTTCCGGTGACACATACACGGCTTGGTCTGCGATAGTTATTCTTTGTGTGCTGGGATTCGCGTATATTTCGGCGTACTGAGCGAGGTCGCTTGTTTGGTGCGGGGACGGCGCCAACATAAACAATAGCCTAAACAAAACAGCCACTTTGCAACCCACACGTGAACACCACTTGGGTGTAAGCCCGTGACGCTACGAGATTCGTGCCCAACCAGGTTCCGGGAGGCCCAGCAAATGTTTGACGCGGCCACGGAAAGAATGAGCCACGGTGACCCGCGCCGCAAGTTCAGCATCGAGCATTCTAAGGCAGCCGAACGCAAGTCCAACTACCACCAATCCCAGGAGGTGGGGCGACATATTTTTATGTGTTCATGTGCACAGACGATGTCAACTGATCGGTACGCGCGCAGGCTGGTTGGCTCTGTCGTGTGGCGTCACTCGGTACCGTGATAAGAAATACGTGGCGGGACATTGAACTGAGAGTGTTTCCGACTCTCCGCACACTCTTGCGATCCGTCATTGCGCAATCATACACACTCTCTGACGTTGCTGTAGACCTCTCTCTGTCGACGCATGTCTATGGACACTCGCTAACAGGTCCCTGGACGTGCCCATCGCCACTCAATCAGAGGACTCTGCGAGGGTATTCACGTGGCCTGTTTTCAAGCACCAACCTGCTGTATTTTAGTTGTCCAATGTACGCCAACGTAACCCAATTCTTTGAATAACGACCTGATCAACCGCTGTCGGCGGTAAAAGCTGCAACGTTCGTAGTTCGTTTTTCAAGTTCGGAAACCACCGCCAGACCAACCAAAGTGCCGGCCTTGCACGAGTGGGTATCGAATTCGCACCCGGTAAAGTCACGAACTAAACACCCTTTTGTCCCTCTCTTTTTTCACCCAACCAGATAATGAAAGCTCTTTCCGGAAGCTACAATTGCGTTTCGTCAAACAGTTCCAGGGATAGAGGAGGGGGAGTGGCCGCACCAACAGGTGGGGCGGCGAGGAGCAGTCACCATGGCGGTGGAAGCGGAGTAATGAGCGAGAGCGCCGACGGCGACAACCGTCAAGCATCTTTCCTCCCCGAGCAGAAGCACGCGGGCTCGACCTCCGTCAAATCGTTGGGTAGGTCGAGCGCCTCTTCTGCGACGTCCGATGCGGCCGGGACGACGGGAGTTGCGCAGACCCCGCCGTCTTTGCGATCACCACCCCGCATGCGAAGCCCATCCCCATCTGGAGGATTATGTTAATTGACAAGATCTATTGCCGTTGTTGTTGAAGAAAATTGCTCTCATGGGTGCCCTAATTTTACTCGATCGGTCGTCAGTGCCCCGCCCTCTCCAACCCTCCCCCCCCTTTGGGTCATCGCTCCGAAGTGCATGTAGTGAGGTGACTGCCTCCCGTCCTGGAAAATTGTGGGAACAAAAGTGACCGCTTTTTGTTCTTAACGTCCTAGTGTGCTGGACTGACTGACGGGTGTATGAGTAAGAAAGGCTGGTGAAGCATTCCCGTCCGGATATAAAATATTCTTATATTTTTTGTGTAAGGCGTATTTTTAGAAAGTAAACATAGCCTCACAGAAAGGTTACCCGTTCGAGATTTTGCCATATTTATCGGTACGTCGTGTGTGGCACGGATTGTATCACATCTGTGTGCCCGTCGGGGGAGGGTTCTTGTTGCATCATTAACCCTGTGTTTCTGTTGCTCGCTGGAGGTGCTGCGCCTGCACAGATTTCCAAGCTGTTTCTATGGTGTACCATTAGGTGCTTCGATAGTGTACCATTAGGCACCAGGAACGAAAGTAAATGTAGGGAACCTGTTGGACGTTGCTACACGGGCGTCGCCGCAATCGACATCCAACGAGAGAGTGGAGGAGGTGAAATGAGCTCATCAAGAAATGGGTACACCTGTAGCCATTCGGCTACGCTGCCAGGGTGGGGAAATATCACCCTGGCGAGGTCACCCCAAAAGACTACCTTGCAGGCTTGACCCGGCTGCAAGGTGGCTACCCCACCAGGGTACCGATCACACACCCTGTGCGTACCCTGCCACTCAGGGACCCTCGCGGGGTACTCACCCTGGGAAAACCCTGTAGAGACCATGGCAGCTGTAGTAACGGCGCCGAAAATTTGGAGATTTTCCTTTTGACTATTTCTCTCATTTATCTTCTCGTCGCGTCCCTCGCAGCAGCATTTGGTGCTCCTACACGTACAGAAACGCTCATCGCTCATCGACACCATTTACAGTAGGATGCATCCCAAAACCCAATCCATCAACAAAAATCCACAATTTAGGGGCTCACAATCCAAACTTGGACGACCACTTCATTGCAAAACGTAGTCACCACACGCACCAACCAACTCAGAACGCATCGTGAACCACACGATCTATGAACATACAGCACAAAAATGACCCAAAACAAAATACATCAACCCATTCCTTTACTACCAAAAACCTCGAACCCGTTGCCTTCAGGTTCACGCAACTTGTATGCGCCCGCTCAAGCCCACATTCTTGTGCATACGGAGACTCAACTCAACGAAATCAAGCTCCGACCAAACCTACTTGCCTCTTGTTCGTAGCACCTCCATACTTGGGTGCCCCTTCCCCCGGCGGCACGCAAAACAACCTCTGCGTTGTGTGTATCACGTCCAAGGTACGCACGCACTAACCGAACTGCAGGCGTATGACGCGTGCGTCGATGACACACCTTGACAAAGTGCCACCGCTTCACGAGATAGACTTCCTATAGACTATTGCCGAACGCTATTTACAAGCAACCTGCTCCCTCCCACTCCCACCAAACACCACACCAAGCGCTAAGCCCGAGAACATTGCCAGCAATTTCGCGACCCATGCGGATGCTGAGCGTTGATCCGTCCATCTCGTCGAGAAATGCGCCGAGCTAGGCATCATCGACGAGCACATCTGCGGCCGTGGTGTCCTCCATGATGAGATTGTCGTTCGTCCCCTCAGGCGTACGGGGATAGGAAGCGCATGATCTTGAGGTTCCCGTAGTGCGACTTGGCGATGGTCAGGAGTCCGGAGGCTATGCGACGCGGGCCCGTCATGAACTGCAGAATGGAGAACCAGAAACTGTTCCAAAGCACGTAGGGAAAGGGAAGGCATGGATGCGCAACGACATGAAACAAAAAGTTCATGTTTGATTCCAGAGTGGACGAAAACTCGGTTAGGTGGGGTGACAGGGAAGATGCGTGACGAGCATAAAGAACATGAGAAAAATACTGTATTATTCCGTGACGTACGACATGAAGGTGAACGATTGAGATGGTAACAGCGCAAGAGTAGTAGGAGGTGGGGGGGGGGGGGGC